CCCCTCTATCCCGCAAATCGTAACTCCCGTAATTCTTGGAATTTCAAACTAAAATTTTGCAAATATCCCCAGTTAGTTATTATGTGTCCGTATGCCAAGTTTCACTATGATAGACCGATTTAACAAGAAGTTTTTTTTTTATTTTCTATAATTATTGTAAACATATGTACAGAGTATTTCAAAGTCGGGACACCCGACTTTAGCTTTTTTACTTGTTTTTTTTTAATTTTCTTAATTTTTTTTAATTTCTATAATTATTGTTAACATATGTACAGAGTATTTCAAAGTCGGGACCCCCGACTTTAGCTTTTTTACTTGTTTTATTTCCCTTTTTATCTGATTATTTACTGGACATTTCGTCCTGTGCGAGAAAATAAAAGTTGTTTGCGTTTGTGTGCGTGCATGTAAGTGTATGACTTATTTGTTCTTGTCACTTATTTTTTCTGTGTGTTTGGATTGTTCATTATATTGTCGCGAAAAATGGGCCGGGACCAAAATAAACAAGAAAGGAATGCTAAATACCCTGTACCACCCCAAAAAAAAAATTAAATTAAATTAATTAATTAATGTAATTAAATTAACTAAATTAAATATAAAATATTCCATACATGCATACATACATTTACATTTTAGAATCGTGTCTATGCGTGTTGGTGTACTTGTACATACTTGTATGTGTGCATTGGCCTGATTATATGGCTATAACTTACTTTCTAATTACCCTATCATAATGAAATTGGTATACGGATATATAATCACTAACTGGATGTGTCTACAAAATTTTAGCTAAAAATTCCAAGAATTACGGCAGTTATAGGAAATTGTAAATAGGGCGGGAGTGGGGGGTGCATCGGGAAAAATGAACAAACTCGTCCTTTCTCGGGCTCAGAATCTGGATACCAAGTTTGGTTATTCTTATACTTTCTGAGATCCTTGCGTTCATACAGACAGACAGACGGACATGGCTATATCGACTCGGCTTGACATGCTGATCAAGAATATATATACTTTGTGGGGTCTGCCACGCCTCCTTCTGTGTGTTACATGTACAGTGTATTTTTTTTTAAATTTGATGCTGGAACTAATAAATGTCAATGCAACATATGCAGTTTAAAACAAGAACGCTACAGTCGAGCAAGCTCGACAGTGTAATACCCTGTACCCAGCTAAACTTCCGTCACTGAGTTATATGCTCCCATAGCAGCAGCAAAAAGAGGAAGAAGAAGAGCGAACTTGTTGCTGCAGTTTGGGGGGTTGTACTGGCGAGAATTTGTTTCGCTAATAACTTTTCTTAGAATTGACCGAATTAAAAAAAAAATAAAATAAAATTTTAAACAACAGTAGATAAATATATATATATGATGTGTGCAAAGTTTGGTTCAGGTAGCATTTGAAATGTGAACGCTATTGACGAAATTCTGTAGCGGGGGAAGGGGGGGGGGGGGGGGGGGGGGGGGGGGGGAAATTCCAAAAAATAAAATAAACTCGTCCTTTCTCGGACCTAGGAGAATCTGGATGCCAACTTTGGTTATTCTAGCTTTTATAGTTTCTGAGATCCTTGCGTTCATTCAGACGGACGGACGGACAGACGGACGGACGGACGGACATGTCTAGATCGATTTCTCTCGTCATGCTGATTCAGAATATATATACTTTATGGGGTCGGAGATGCTTCCTTCTGCATGTTACATACTTTGCACAAACCTAATATACCCTTTTTACCCTACGGGTACAGGGTATAATTAGAAGGCTCGCATACCACACATTTAAAATGCCATTTGACAGCGAAACATTCCGAAATATTTAATGCAATGGACAGCAATGGACATAACGAAGAACAAAACATTAAAAAAAAAGAAAAATAAGTTATGAAACTAGTGAAGTGGCAGTCGTTTCATCAATAATAAAATTGTGACCACAGACGGAAAGACATTTTTATAACCTGTACTCAAAGGGTAAAAGGCTATACTAGTTTGGTGCGAATGTATGTAACAGGCAGAAGGAGGCGTGGCAGACTCCACAAAGTATATATAATCTTGATCAGGATGACAAGCCGAGTCGATATAGCCATGTCTGTCTGTATGAACGCAACGCTCTCAGAAAGTATAAGAGCTAAAATAATCAAACTTGGTATCGAGATTCTCCTAAGCCCGAGAAAGGACGAGTTTGTGTTTTTTTTTCTGACCCATAATTTCCGTAACTCCCGTATTTCTTGGAAATTTGGCAAATACATCCAAAAAGAGATTATGTGTCTGTGTGCCAAGTTTCATAATGATAGGTTAATTATGAAGAAAGTTATAGCCATAAACATAAAGAAATTCGTTATTAGTTGTTAAGCTCAACGCAGAATAAATAATAAATAATTATTATCCCTTTGATACATTACTTTTATTATTTTACTATTATTAATAATTATTTCATTAACTTGAAGTGTGTGTAACGGGTTTTGTGTGTGTGTGTGTATGTGTGTGTGTGAATTACTGAGCGTTTGGGCTGAGCATTTAAATTTTCGGTTCGTCTACTGATTCTCAAAATATAAACTGTCAATCGGATTGCTCTCTGTATGTTCATTAAACGAGCATAAAACAAGATAGAACGCTACAGTCGAGCAAGCCCGACGGTAAAATAGCCTGTACTCTCCACAAAAAAGAAAAATTAAAAAAAAATTTAATTATTAAAAAAAATGAATGAATTAATTAAATTCAATTAGAATACATGTTTATGTTCAGTTTAACAGCATACATTTACATCAAGTACCTATGCGTGTTTATATGCGTGTATGCATGCAGCACAAAGTTGAACCAAAGCAGCAACATCAACAACAGCTGCGGGCAGCGCTGCCAGCAGAGCTGCAGGCAGCGCATGAGCAGCGATTTTACTTATAGCTATAACTTTCTTCAGAATTGACCTATCATGATGAAACTTGGCACACGGACACATAAGCACTAACTGGATGTAATTGATTTCAAAATTCCAAGAATTACGGAAGTTATAAGAAGAGGGTGTATCAAAATAAAAAAAAAACAAACTTGACCTGCCTAGGGCTTAGGGGAACCTGGATGCCAAGTTTGGTAATTCTAGCTCTTGTACCTTCTGAGATCCTTGCGCTCATACAGACGGACGGGCGGACAGACGGACGGATGGACAGACGGACGGACGGACATGGCTATATCGACTCGGCTTGTCACCCTGATCAATAATATATATACTTTGTGGGGTCTGCAACGCCTCCTTCTGTGTGTTACATACATGCGCACAAAACTAGTATAGCCTTTCACCCTTTGGGTACAGGCTATAACAAAGACAAATGAAGTGTTCTGCTCAGAAACCAATTTTGGTAGTTACATCCAGTTAGTGCTTATGTGTCCGTGTGCCAAGTTTCGTCATGATAGATCAATTCTGAAGAAAGTTACAGCCATAAATAAAATCGCGGCCCATGCGCTGCCTGCAACTCTGCCCGCAACATAGTTGTTGTTGCTGCTTTGGTTAAATCTGTACATAAACATGTCTTCTATGTATGTATTAAATAAATTTTCTTTATTAATTTAAATAATTAATTCAATTCTTTTTAATAATTTAATTTAAATGAAAAATTTTTTTTAATTTTCCTTTTTTGTGGAGAGTACAGGTTTTCGGTTATGTTCGTGAGTAGACCTCAAAGGGAAAAACGGTTAACAGTTATTTGCAAGCTCTGCCTAAAATCAAAAAGTCCCTTTAAAACAACTTGTTTCATAATTATGAAACGGTAAGAAAACATTTCTTTGATTTTTAAATTTTTTGAAATACATGTATTATATGTAAAAACAAGTAGAGAAGCTAAAGTCGGGTGTCCCGACTTTGAAATACTCTGTACATATGTGTAGAATAATTATGCGTGTATGTGTGTGTATGTCTCGTGTGCCTGTGCAAAGCAGTAACAACAACAACAGCTGCGGGCACTGCTTGGTCATGCATACGTATATGGCTATAACTTCCTGTTAAATCGGCCTATCATGATGAAACTTAGCATACAGACTCATAATCATTAACTGAGGTATTTTCCAAATTTCAATGAAAAATTCCAAGAAACGCGGGAATTATGGATAATCACTAATTGCGAGGGAGAGGGGTGAAGGAGGGGAATTCCAAAATACACATTTTCTGCGTATTCATATAAGGCACCTGGGACTTTGGTGTCCCTAGTTCTTATAGTGTCCGAGATATAGGCGATTATACGAATGGAAAATCGGGAAAACCCCCATAGGGTGAAGTGGGGGGGAATCAAAAAAATAAAATAAACTTGCACAGCGAACACATAACGCATTTTTGTGCAAAGTTTGGTGTCTCTACCTCTCACAGTCTCTGAGATCCAGGTGTTCATACGGACAGACGGACAGGGCTAGATCGACTCGTCTCGTCATGTAGATAAAGAATATATATATACTTTGTGGGGTCTGCCACGCCTTCTTCTGCGTGTTACATTTTCAGCTCCCGCAAACCCAATATACATTGTACATTTCATGTACAGAGTATAATAATAAATCTTTTTTTAGGTGTTAAATAATAAATTTTTATTTTTTTATAATTTAAGATACATTCAGGAGGTAGTAAATCAAACCGAAAAATTTAAGAAAAAGAAAGCCGAGTATTGCGGCGAATTAAAACACAGTCGCCTAGTATCATATATAAATGGCAAAATGGGCTTCTTTACTTTGCGTTGTTAACACGTCATATGTGTATGGACTTATGTAGGGGGTTTTTATTGAGCTATGATTATTTAATTGGTGTGTTCAGTTTAAGTTTATCGTTTATTTATGTAAACAAATTTGGATCCGAATAATCTTGAGGTCTTTCATTAATTGCTCTATGAATTAGCTTTTATGTAAAAATAGCAGTTGTATTACATAATTTAAGAAAAGTGTGATTTTGATTTATGTGTAACGCCTTACAGACCGCCGATTTTTAATGTGGTTATTATTAGTATATGATCATAATATTCTAATATAATATATGGGTATCGCTTCAAGACCGGCTAAATAGAAAACCGAAAGGAGGTTTATTTAAAACTGTAATTAATATTGACGCTAGTAAGGTTAGTATTTTACTATACTTTAACTGTTACATATGTTTAATGTTTTTATCGTAAGTCGGGATCCTCGTCTGCTGCCTTTTTAATTCTAAGTAAGATTGTAGTATACCATTGATCTAAGCGTGAAATACTGTCATAATCCTTTATTGCGTCAGTAAATCCATCTATGTTCTGCTCCTCTAGGTGCTCACACAGAATCTGCAGAGAAAATAAACAAAGATTTTTAGTTTTTTGTTTAAATGTACACAAATTCAACAAGTGAAACAAGTAGTAGAGTAATATAGGATAAGAGACTGTCAGAATCAAGTTGCAAGTATATTAATGATGAAATAGTCTTAATGGAGTGTTCGAAGGATATGTTGCGTGAAAAATAATTGTAATTAGAACACAACACACGAAAGGGTTCATGTGAAGCAAAGGTAGATCTACAAATAGGCAATCCAAGGGTACGAAATACACGAGTAAATCTGAAGGGAACTGCCAAGTCTACAAGGCTAAGAAGGAAAGGGGAATCTATATCACAAGAAAGAAGCTTGTGAAGGAGTAACCCACTCCTGGACAAATTCTACGGTGATGTACGGATGGTAGGTCTATTAGTTTTAATCTGGATCTATAAGAAGGCAAGCGGCTGTGCGGATCCCAATTTAGACTCCGAAGAGCAAACAGTAAAAATTATTTTTGGACGGATTCAAACAACATTTGTTGTTCATTGTATTGTGGGCTCCAGACGCCTGAGCAATATTCCAAGATAGGGCGAACCAAGGATATGTACAATGATTTCGTAGTGTACGGGACGTCAAACTCTTTCGACCAACGTTTGATAAAAGCAAGAAGTCCTCTTGCTTTCGTGACAATAACTAAAATATGGCTGTTAAAACATAATTTATTATCAAAAAGTTCACCAAGATCGTTAACCGTGGTTATTCGGTTAAAAGTAGAATTCCCAAGAGTATAGGAAACAAAATGGGCAGCAGAGCGGTGGAAGGTCATATAGTTGCATTTCGAAAGGTTAAGCGACAGAAGGTTATTATAACACTACAAATGCAATTTATTTAGGTCAGTTTGAAGGTTCAGATGTGATGATAGATCAAAGGTCATCGCTTACATTAGGGCATTTGAATATAATACTACCTCATTTATAAAAAGGACAACCAAAAAGGTACTAAGATGATGGGGCATGCCAAAAATGAGAGGTTAACGATTTTGGATAGTGCATTTTTATATAATGAGCGTTGAGTTCTGATACATCTCTATATATATAAAACAGTTTGTCCTGACTGACTGATTGGTGATCAACGCACAGCCCAAACGGTAAGAGCTAGGAAGCCGAGATTTAGACTCAAGTATCCTTTCATAGTGTAGGTGCCCACTAAGAAGGGATTTTGGAAAATTCCAGCTCCAAAGGGGGAAAACAGGCTCCAAAGTTTTCCTGCAAAAAAATGGGGCACAAAAGGAAACTGCGTCAACAGCCCACAGCCCAAACGGCAAGAGCTATGAAGCTGAAATTTGGGCTCAAGGATCCTATCATAGTGAAGGTGCCCACTAAGAAGGGATTCTGGAAAATTCAAGCTCCAAAGGGAGGAAAACGAGCTCCAAAGTTTGTTTGAAAATTCTGCATTTCTGCACCGATCAACTTTAAATTTGATTTTTATAATCTATGAAAGAATATAAACTGCATACTCGGATTTTCGAAATTTATGGTGGAGCTTGAATTATTGGAGTTTTAATATTTATTCACCTTTTCAAATGAAAATTTTGTGTTTTAAGGGCGTGAGGGCGGTCACGGCCAAGAAAATTGCAGCACTAGTGCTGCATGCTTTTAGGATCACTCGGCAATTCGCATTTTATACCCCAAATCGCGGTGCAGCCTTTTAGGAGCTGGAAGTTTTGGGGCTGAGTTTAAGGCGAGTTGTACAAAGGCCGGACGGGCTATATTCCAACCCCTACCGCATCGGCGGCGTACTTGATTGGGGCTCTGCCGACCGTGCAGGGACGGGATATCCCCCATCCTGTCAAGAAGAAATTCATGAGCACCGAGGGAAGTCGCTAAGAACCTGCCTCGATGACAGACGTACAACTGCATGGGCTGCAGAAGGTGGCTCCCACCGACCAGCCACCGGGGGTGCAACAATTGCAAGGATCATACCGTACCATACAGGGCGGTAACGGGACAGCACAACCAAAGTCCCACTTGGAGGCGCCTCTCCCATTCTCGCAAGGCCATCCGCAGGCAACCTTAGGTGACGAGCTTTGGCTACAAACCAATGAAATGGTAACCGGCGTGAACCCTTTCGCGCGTAGGTCCTTGGTGGCCAGATCCCCACCAAAGTCAGCTCCACCGTCAGTGGCCCTTCAGAGCTTTCCACTACTATGCTCACCTGCAGCATCTTTGCGTGTAGCAAATTCAGCCGAGCCGGCATACACGCCAAACGCGCCATTCTCAACGCCTCTGGCAAAGACATTGTCTACAACGCCTTTACCGGTCTCACCTCTGCCGGCAGAAACGGTGCCAAACGGCCTTCCAGCCCAACCAACCGCCGCCCAGGCAGAGATGCAGGAGCTGGGTACCCACTTGCAGTCCGTCTGCCGCCTTTTCGAAGGCCAACATAAGCGTCACGTCAACCAGCAGGACAAAGAGGTGTTTGTAGAAATGTTGAGGCTGTATAGCTCGATATACAGCAAGATAGACTGGTCAGGCATTGGAGTGAAGCCGTCCTACAGCGAAATCGGCGTACAAACAGCAGAGCCCTGGCCTAAAGCATCCAGCCAACTTCAAACGGGCATCCCGAAAAGGCTTAAAGACCCCAGGAGCACCCAGCGCGCTACCCCGCCAAAAAAAACACAAGATGCGGGAAGCCAGAAGCCTGCCACCGCATCGCAAACTACGAGTGGCCAGGCCCCTGTCACCCTGCCGAAGGACTTCGCACAGGCAGTGAAGGGAAATGGCAATCCTACCAGGCCGGATGCGACATGTCATGGACATTGGGAGGCTGCACGAAGCTGTGGAGGCGGCATTGCAGGGCATGGCTGTAGTCAAGACGCTAGTGGAGGAGACCCAGCTGGAGTTCCGGGATCTGGACGGGCTGGTCTCCAAAGAGGAGATTCTGGAAACGCTCAGGTCAATTGGAGAGGACTTTAACATCGGTTCAGATGCAATAAAGTCAATCCGCAAGGTGAACGGCGGACAGCAGATAGCTTTACTATCGCTCCCTGTGGAGAGGGCAAGAGTGCTGATAGAAACAGGGAAAGTACGGGTAGGATGGGTTATCTGCCGCATCCGAGGAGTTATCCGACCAACACGTTGCTACAAGCGCCTTGGTTTCGGTCACATGGCAGCAAGGTGTAACAGCGTAGAGGACCTTAAAGATGCCTGTTACAGGTGCGGTGAAAAGGGGCACCTAGCCAGAAGCTGCGCAAAAATCCCGAAATGCTTGTTGTGCGCAAAGAAGAGTCTACCATCGACTGACCGCGCCACTGGCAGCTTCAAATGTCCGGCATACAAGGAGTAAGACAAACAAGATGCTAAGGATCCTTCAGCTCAACCTTAATCATTGCATCGCATCGCAGGACCTGCTGCTGCAGACAATCAACGAGGAGAGCATCACCCTGGCGATACTAAGTGAGCAGCAGGGCAGGCATCGGTTCCATTATCGACCTGACGTACGCTAACAGCTCCCTCCACAGCCATACCAAGTGGACTATAAGCACTGCTTACACGGCAAGCGACCACGTGGCCATCATAGTTACAGTCGGCGATACATCCCGCAACTTTACGAATCCACCGCCCGACAACGTGGCATACAAGCTGGAGTCATTCTGCCCAGCTTCATTTGCGAGAGCCCTCAGTGGCTTTTGCCTCTCCGGGGACCCGCAGACCATGGCTCTAGACGCCGCGTCCCAAATTCGTACTGCATGCGACGCCAGCATGGTCAGACGCTCGATGTACAGGCGCCACCACGTTCCAGTTTACTGGTGGAATAATGATATCGCAGTACTACGCACATCATGCATCAGTGCAAGGAGAGGGGCCCAGAGAGCACGTGGTTCGCCCTTGTTCTCGCTCAGGCAGGATACCTACCGGGAGTCTAGGCGACTGCTGAAAAGTGCTATCTGAGCAAGCAAGAAGAGATGTTTTTTAGAGTTGTGCGACTCCGCAGAACAGGATCCCTGGAGGAAGGCGTACAAGCTGGTAGTAAAGCGCATTCATGCTGGTGGTCGCGACGCACCCCTGGATGCCGAGAACCTCGCTCGGATTGTCGCAACTCTATTCCCCTCGAGACCAGAGACGCCAGTGCTGATATCCACCACAGACGCACTATCGCCCACCATTGACGACGTCATGACGGATGAAGTGATACTAGCCGCTCGCAGCCTGAAGCCCAACAAAGCGCCGGGTCCGGACGCAATACCGAACCGCGCCCTCAAACTGGCATTGTGCATGCACCCCGAGACGTTCGCCGCTTTCTTTGAAAAGTGCGTCAGAGAAGGAATATTCCTAGATTGCTGGAAGGTGCAGAACCTAGTCCTGCTGCCAAAACCTGGCAAGCCATCTGAAATACCCTCGTCGACAGGCCGATTTGTCTCCTGGACTCATTCGGTAAGGTGCTGGAGAGACTGCTGTGCGTGAGGCTCGAGGCAGCCATCGGCCTATCTCCAAACCAATTCGGGTTCAGGAAAACGAGGTCCACGATTGACGCAATCAGCAAAGTGGTGGACATCGCATCTAAAGCGTTATCAGGCAACAGGTGGAAATGTGGATCAAAGGAATACTGCCTTGTGGTGACCCTCGACGTCAAAAACGCGTTCAACTCGGCAAATTGGGGATGCATCCTCAACGCACTTGCAGCTCAGGGGGTACCATCGCACTTAGTACGCTCCATTAGAAGTTACCTAAGCAATCGCTTACTTAGATATCACAGCACATCAGGCACCAAAACCGTTAATGTCGTCGCTGGAGTTCCTCAGGGGTCGGTCTTAGGGCCGCTGCTTTGGAACGTCATGTACGACGGAATTCTCCGCCTTCAGCTACCGCATGGCACGGAACTAGTGGGTTAGGCGTTGCGAAAGAGGGATGTGGAAGATGCATGCAATCGCTGCATCGAAACCATTATGAGTTGGCTGTCCACGGTTGGCTTCGAACTGGCGGCTGGCAAAACTGAGGTTGTGCTTATCAGCAGTCGCAAAACCGTAGAACAGGT